ATGTATAAAAATATAATTTGTAATAGCACAAAGCAGGGAAGAGAACCATAGAGTAGCCATACGGTAGCAGAATTTTTTTTTTGAGACAGAGTCTTACTACCTCTCCCTTGGTAGAGAGCCGTGGCGTCACAGCTCAAAGCAACCTCAAACTCCTGGGCTCAAGCGATTCTCTTGCTTCAGCCTCCCAAGTAGCTGGGACTACAGGCACCCACCACAATACCCAGCTATTTTTTGTTGCAGTTGTCACTGTTGGTTAGCTGGTCCAGGCCAGGTTCAAACCCACCAACTTTGGTGTATATGGCTGGCACCATAACCACTGTGCTACGGGTGCTGAGCTAGTAGCAGAATTTTCTATAAACTATTGAAATTAAGGTCATGTGCATCCAAACTAGATTATTATAAATTAAGAGAGAATTAAAATGGTTTATGTAACACAAGATAACATCAAAAGAAGAATAGTGAAACAGAAAAGACATAGACATATACAAAATAGACAGCAGTGTGACAGCCATGAACTCTGTCCTATCAGCAATTACATTAACTATAAATAGATTAAATAGTGCAATCAAAAAGCAGAGATTGGCAGAATGGAATAAAAAAAACCATGATTCAACTATAGTCTGTTTACAATGGATACACTTTAAGTAATCCTTAAGTCAGAAAAAGCTTAAAGGTAAAAAGAGAGAAAAAGATTTACAATAGAACCTTCATAGTTGACCACCTCCTTAAACTGACCTAATTTTCACAGACCAGACAGGGCACCACATGTTCTTACCATCCTCCTATGCTCCTTATGTTGACCAGTTTGTTATAGCCCTTTAAGTGGTCAACTTTCTGAGGTTCTACTGTACTATGCAAGTGGGAACCAAAGAGAGCAGAAGGGGCTATCCTGCTATAAGACAAAATCGTTTAAAATATAACTTATTAGAAAATAAAAGGCTTTTGTATGTTTGTGTGTGATAAAAAAAGACATAAATTTACCACCTTATCCACTTTTAAGTGTACAGATCACTAGCGTTAACTATATTCTCATTGCTATGAAACATATGTCTAGAATTTTTTCATCTTGCAAAACTAAAACTCTGGACCCATTAAACAACTACATTTCACCTTCTCTAGGCCCCTGGCAACTACTATTCTAATTGCTGTTTCTACGAATTTAACTACTTTAGATACCTCACATAAGTGGAATCATGCAGTTTTACTTTTTGTGTCTGGCTTATTTTACTTAGCATTATGTTCTCAAGGTTCATCACATTGTAATATGTGACAGGATTGCCTCCCTTTTCAACGCTCAGTGACATAGTCCACCGTATGTAGACAGTTCATTTTGTATATACCATCAGCCATCGATGGACATTTGGAGCTACTATGATAACATTGCTATGAATATGCAAGTATCTTTTCAATTCTTTTGAATATATACCCAGAAGCAGCACTATTGGATTTTGTAATCCAGTAACTACAATTACTTATAATCCAGTAATTGTAACCCAACCACAGGAGAATACATAACATTTTCAATTGCACATTGAACATTCTCTAGAATAAAACATATGGTAGAGGGCCAAGCATGGTAGCTAACACTTGTAATCCTAGCACTCTGGGAGGCTGAGGCAGGTGGACTGCCTGAGCAAGAGCAAGACCCTGTCTCTAAAAAAAATAGCCATAGTGGCAGGCATCTGTAGTCCCAGCTACTTGGGAGGCTGAAGAAAGAGAATCACTTGAGCCCAAGTGTTTGAGGTTGCTATAAGTTATGACACCACAACACTCTACCGAGTGACTAAGTGAGACTCCGTCTCAAAAACACAGAAACAAACAAACAAACGTATCGGGGCATAGCCTGTAGCTCAGTGAGCAGGGTGCTGGCCCCATATACTGAGAGTGGTGGGTTCGAACCCAGCCTCGGCCAAACTGCAACAAAAACTAGCCAGATGTTGTAGCAGGCACCTGTAGTCCCAGCTACTTGGGAGGCTGAGGCAAGAGAATTGCCTAAGCCCAAGAGCTGGAGGTTGCTGTGAGCTATGATGCTATAGCACTCTATAGAGGGCAATAAAGTGAGACTCTGTCTCAAAAAAAAAAAAATATGGTAGCGTTTTCAATACTTAAAAACACTGAAATCAGCTCGGCGCCTGTGGCTCAAGTGGCTAAGGTGCCAGCCACATATACCTAAGGTGGCAGGTTCGAATCCAGCCCAAGCCTGCCAAACAACAATGACAGCTCCAACCAAAAAATAGCCGTTGTGGCGGGCGCCTGTGGTCCC